GATTGAGCTCACTTTTGGGGGCAATTTCATTTGTGTGATCTTATTAATGGTCTTTGTGAATACATCTATATTTTATGGGGAGTGCCTTGTCTTATTTTCATTGCTATGGAACATATATGCCCCACTGTAATGAGTCAGACTGTGTCTAGTGTTGACTGAAGCAGCCCTCGAGCATTGAGATCTCACACACACTGATGTTATGTAATTAATTCGGCCTTTTCCAATGATCTGTGATCAGTAGCATCTGAGAGGAGGATTAGTGTGTGTCTGGACAGCAGCCGGCAGACATGCTGAACAGACTCATGGTTATGAGGGCATGTGTGATCACACTTGTGTTTGCACGAAAAACTAGATTTGTGTTGTTTATATTACACTGAGTTTGTAAATGAGTGGGGTTGAGTATGCTACACTACACCATGACAAATTAAACAGATTTGATTTTAATTAAAGTAGTACTTTTTCTTCTTCTGTCTTTTTGCTCTCTTCATAACTTTAATAAATATCGAATACACAGTGATGTGTGTGTGTAAAGAATGTTGTGGGAATTTAACCACTGACCTTCATATTACCGTGTGTGAGGTGGTAACAGTGACCTGTCCTTTAGCTGTGAGTCAGTTTGCTTCACTTTGAATGGACAGATCAAGCAATGGCAATGCAGTGCCGAATGCTGATTCTCATGTTAGTATACAACAATATGAAGATGTTTAATGGCTAAAATCTAATAACAAGACAGAGAATTACATTTTATTGATTTTATTGTCTGAAATGTAGATTCATATTTTATAATCATGTAGGTGAGGGAGGCAGTCTTCTTATAGTTTATCTAAACTACGGAGCTTTTCATACTTGAGATTGTTTAACCAAGGCTCATTGTTAACCATGGGTTATTTTGTTGTATTTAACACCGTTCATACTTTATCCATGCTTAGTCCACAATCCTGGGTAGTCATGTTTGTGAAAAAAAGGTGTTTAGTGGCATTGAATGTGCACTTGTACTGTACATAAAGTACATAAAGAAAGTAGACTTTTAAGATTGATACACTGAAATACACTTTGACTAACTTGTGCAGTACTTGATTTTTTAACTGTAGTGCGTTATTTGATATTACACTTTGTTAATATATTTTGAAACTGCAGCTTTATCTTTAATAATGTGTTATTTAAATGATATGTAAATACATGTTGTATACATTTCAGTAGAAAAATTACATTAAAGTATATTTTAGTTTACCATAAAAGCTTGTCTGTTAAAGGGTACTTCTGTTTCACAAGTGCAAGTTTCAGGATTTCATGCTGTATATTTACAAACCTATGTTAATGTTCTTATTCTGTCATGTAGATACGCTCTAACTGTCTAGTTTTGAAACAGTTAATCGAAATAATACTCATTGTCTTAATAACTCCATGTCTACATTACATGTAACAGTTTAGTCTAAATAAGTTTAGTTTTTAGTTTAGATAGGTAGATTGGTGGATTGATAGGTTTAGATTGGTAGTGAGTGTCCATTCAGTGTTTTACCTATGCTTCTACGGTACAAAGTAAGTTAATGTGTTATGCAAAAACATATGCACTTTCATAACGGGTCAAAAATCGAGCCGTACCTGAGTACCAATTAACTCTAGTTTCCAGATGGTTGCACAGCTGTGAACAGTGTTACACAGCATGCGAAGATGATACGGATAAAGCATCAGAGTGAAGGCATTATATAAAAGGCTGATTAGGCCTGATAGATCACTGTACTGAATGGGTTTCTCCCTCCGTCCATTTAATCTCAGCGTGTGCGGTATCGATGTACCGTGTCTGTAGCCTGGCTGAATGCAGGCCGGAGGGTTTTAAATGAACATCAGTGCTGTGCTTTAAGACAAATGGCCGCTGATGAAATGTTAAATATTCAGAATTACACTTACCGCCATGTCGGAAACAACCCACTGCTCTACAACAGCCATTAAACACCGGCACGCCCCAGATCTATGCTGCCAATCTATATTACATAAGTCTGTGCTTCACTAAACAAGAGCATGCAGTGACAAGCTGCAAAATGATACAGGCATTACTCTCTGGCATATTAAAGACCCACAGTGCCAAGTCATGTTATGTAACTTCACAAATACACACTGAACATGCTGAGACTAGCCTACAACATACTAAGATGTACAAGAACACAGATAGAGACAGAAGATCAAATAACTCATCTTTTCATTTCACCACCCTGCACAGTGGGGATGTCAGTGAAGTAATGGACACTTTTCACATTTCGGGTGTTCTCATATGCGGACCTCAAACTTTTGATCGGTCGTGTGTTTGTGTATAAAGATTTAAAAAAAGTGTTTCCAAATGTCCCCTCAAAAACGACCATAGAACTCATGGGTTGCAGAGATGTGCAATCTTTATGGATATGACCTGGATCTCTGGCCAACATAAAATAATGATGCATATGTCCCATCCCATGAATCATTTTACTCTGTTTCTAAACGATTAAAGGTGCCCTATAATGTGAAATTGAATTTATGTTGGCATGGTTAAATAACAAGAGTTCAGTACATGGACATGACATACAGTGAGTGTCAAACATCATTGTTTTCTCCTTCTTACTTAAATCTCGTTTTTGAAAAACACCCCTGAAAAACAGGCGAATCTCCACATAATACCGACTCTGACGTAAAAGTCGGGATCATTAATATGTATAATATTTGCATATGCCAGCCCATGTTCAGTGACAGATGAGACGGAGCTGCGCAGCCGAAGCATGGCCGTTGATCAGTGTTTGGATGTACACATGAACACAAAAGTATTTTTAGTTCCTTCATCCGAGCCTCTGAAGAAACAATGGGTTAATTTTATTTTCTCTGGATATTTCCAAACATTTCACCGACGACTGTTTCCTCAACTTCCCAAGAGCTGGCCTCGGACCGAGCTGATGTGTTATTGTTTTTCAAGTTCAAGTTAATGTTAATCTTTCACTCAAAATCGTTCAATACTGTTTATGCATCAGTAAGTCAAGCCAGGGACTTCACATTGTTTCTTTTAGTAGGATGAAAAAATAATAATAAATGTTAATAAATTGTGTACAGAAAGCGATCAATATCTTTCCACACAGCGCCAGTTTATCTGGACATTTGCCAAACTCCTTATGAATTCAATGACGCACGTTACAATGCACAACAAAGCTCTTGCTGTATTTACATGATCCTGTCTGCATTAGTGATAGCAGAGAAGGCAAAAATTGCGTTGCAATGATAAGATCTTCCTCCTCGCGATCGACAGGCTGTCTGTCCTCTGCTTGCTCAATACTCAACACAGCAACATTTTATGTGATGGGAATAGATCTAAATACTTCAAAAACATCTCACGATTCGTTAATCTCGATAGCTGTAATAGAAAAAAAAACTATAATAGCTGGAGTAAAATTATTCGAAACAGTTTCACAAGTAATACTTGGCTATTTTATATGCAAGCATGTCAGCCAATCACAGCAGAGCCCGGTTACACACAGCAGACACGCCCCTTCAAACAGTGTTCAGATCAGAGGCTAAAATCAGGCTAGGAAAAATGCCTTTTATTTCTAAATTATGACTATTTTTGATCTAAAAAACATACTAACATTATAAGGGCAACCCAGGAAACATTATAAAATAATTAAAAAAAAAACATTTTAGGGCACATTTAAGTTTGGAGAGCTGGTTGTCTTCAGCCCACAATATCTGTTTGCTGTTTCTGATACATGAGTCACAAAAAATAACATGGGATCTGATGATTTCTCTGTATCGATATAATGGTCTAGGAATGCGCACAAATTCTGTAAAAAAAAAAGTACACAATCTCAATCAAATAATGAGGCTTTTTAACAATTAACAGGTTACACATCCCGACTATTGTGCCAAATACTTCTATAAACTCAACACATCACTATAAACTTTACATATTAATGCATTTAAATTGCAACCTTTTCATAGTAAGTTCAAATATAAATATAGTTTAAATATAAATATATTTTTGTGCATTATAAATTGTATGCAATATAAAAAAAATCAAGTTATATATACGTTTTTATATTGTCCAACAAAAAATGTCAGGCGGGGTAATGTCACCCCTGCTTTTAACATCTACGTGTTCTGTGTGTGTTACACAGGTTTCTCCATCCATTAATCCATGCATCCATCCATCCATCTATCCATCCATTCATCCTCATGGATATTCGTTTATTATTGAAATTGGGTCGTCTATCTCCCCATCCCAGGTGTCAGTCAGCTGGATGGATGTTGCCATTGACTAATACCTGCATGCACACACACTCACTCACTCACTCACTCACTCACTTTCACACAGCTTATATTAGCCTCTGTTGAGACTGATACACCCCATTATGAGCATCATGAGATGACCACCTGTAGCCCACACACGTGTATACCCACTTACATGCCCACAATACACCTGCCTCCCTAAAGACCAATAACGTTGTTTAGCTTTTTTTTTATTAGATATTTTAGATAATGTACTTCCTTTAGTTGGCTGTTTGGCTTCTTTTCAATTTTTTTTTTTTTTTTTTTTTGCATTGCTGGTTTAAATCTAAATGGGTTTGGGAGCTTTTATAGACAGATATGAGCATGTTTTTTAAATTGAGTCTGTACATTTTTCATGACTATGTATGTGCATTAGAAGTGTCTGTGCGTTTGTTTTTCTTTTAGTGGATTTGTATTTATAGTGACTTTTAGACTTGCATCTCGCTGGTGGCATTGCAACATTGCGCTATATAAAATGGTTGCTATTTATAGATCAATGATGCATACGGGTGCCCACTGGCTCAGAGAATGTGGTACTATTACCCACACGGACACTCGCACATGTACACAATACATGCATACTGTACATACACAGATTGTGTGTTATGCCGCATCCAGCCTCCCTGAAGAGAGGTGTTTGCATTAGGCCACATCTACTCTTAACAGCAAATTGAATCCATCTATCCATCTAACAGTATTTATTTTCTTTCCTCCCTCAGGAGACTGAGATCAGCAGGAAAAGAAAGGAGTGTGAAGTCCTTGAGGAGGAGGTGAAGAAAAAGAGCCAGTCATGTCAAACTCTGGTGAGAGCCTTAACAAGTTCACGTCTTATGAGAGGGTCTCGCATGCTGGGTGTCATATCAAGACTCTTCTGAGATATTTACTGTTAGTCTTCCAACATACGGCTCTTTTTGTAGTTGTGATTCATAAGGGGCCGTAATAGGGTTGCACTATTTTAGAGGCCTACAGGTACCCACAACGTATGTACTCTCTGCTCATCATTTTCACTGAGAATTGGACATTTTCTGTTGGTGATATGTTGAATTTTGATGCTTAAATTAGAAGTATCATGCTTCTGGGTTGCAGGTTTCTTGTTAGGTCCAATATACAGTTGCAGGAAAAAGTGTGGAATCATTTTTTAAATTTCTGAACACTTAATGCAGCATTTCTAAATGGGATGGGTGGCCTCTAAAAAGTGTTTTGAATTATGAGAGCTGTATTATTACGTGCTACATGGTCTTTTATTACAAAAAAAGCAAGGATTTTTATATATATATATATATATATATATATATATATATATATATATATATTTTTTTTTTTTAATATACCTCATCATCACTCTTAAACATCCTATTTAAAGGTGAAGTTGTGTTATTTATGCTCCAGTAGCTTTTTTAGTTGTTTATGTATGTATTTACTTACAAAATATTTGAATGGTAAAAATAACCTATATAATATAATTTATAAATATAATAAATAACATAATAACCAGACCAAATAGATGTATGTGTGTTAGTGTGTATTTAAAAATTTTATTTATTTATTAAGAGAGTTTTCTTGATGGTTTATAATTTTGTTTTAATTGTATCTTAGATGCTAGAATGGGTTCTTTAACACTGACCGGAGCGCATGTAATGTTATGATGCATTGCTCAATTTCAAAATGTTTGGTAGGCAGTGTAAGATTGTACAAGGGATCAAACCACTAACCTTGTGGGAAGTGGCCCACTTCTGCCAACCCACCCATGAGAACTGTGTGCTTTAGCATCATATTTAGATTGGATTTTGATTGGCAGGATACATTCTGTTCCAGGGGGACAGTTTTTTGGACAACACAGGTGCTGATGAATGTATTTGCCTGCTTGAAGCATGTGGATTTTGGAAATGCTGTTAGTTTCACACGCTAGCATGCGCACGCACACACACACACACACACGCACATCAGTGCATACTCATCACTCTCAAGGGCGTTTTCTCTCTTTTCCTGCTCTCTCTCAGTCTTTCTCACTGTTTCCACATACCAGACATGGAGAGCTGACTCCAAGGTCCACTGTCAGGGGAAACAAAGCGAGCAGAAGGACAAAAAAGCAAGCACAAGAGGGGGGAAAAGAGAGAGAGAGAGGAAGATGAGTGAGAGTGAAGAGATAAAGAGTGCGGGTGTATGTACAGAGACTAATCGTCCCTGACTGCCAGGGAAGCTCTTTTAAAGAGCCTCTCTCTTCTTCTGTATTCCTCTCACCTCAGCGTTCGGGAAAGACTTTTCATCCATTACACATGAGAGAGGTTTTGCCGGGGCTTTTTAGAGCTGAGGAGGACCTTTTAAATGGGTCATATGCGGCATGCCCTAGGTTTCACAATTGATTCCAGATTTTTGGTCTATTATGGAATTAATTGAATATGAGCTCTTGTATCATGTGCTGCGAACTCAAGGGACGAGTGCATCACTATTTAAATATTAATACTTCAGTTATGCATGTTGGATAGATTCTCACATTAAAGTATTGATCCTAACTGTTTCCAATAATGATATTTCTATTTTATTATATTATATTTATTTATCATTATTTAGCATGTATCATATATATATAATATAATAAAAATTAAAGTTTCTAAAATAAGGCCACAAAACACTTACTAAGTATGTGTCCACAAGACTTTTGACTAATGGATGTTGTCGCCTAGAGTTTTTGCTTCAAATTGATCTGAAAATCATTCTGCCTAATCATTCACATAAAACAATAGATTGTTTGAAATTGTGAAAAAAAAAATGTGGCCCAAAAATGGCCCAACCTCCTCATGAATAATTAGGTGGTTCTCACTTGAGAAGACAAAGACCCGCATAATGAGCCTTCATTATTAGCCACATAAGATTCATTATTTTGAAATAGCCTAGCTTGCATTGGAACAAACACTATAACAGTTGATTAGTTTATTTTTGACAAAACATACTATATATTTAAAATATGACCAGAAACTGTCTAACAAAAGCTTAAGAGTAAAACAAAAAAGAGTAAAAACTTGATAATCTATCCAAAACTAGTCAACGAAATGTTTCCATTACAGATACTATTCTATATCGTGATTAGAACAAATCTCAGTAGGCTATAGCAATATAGTTTGGATTTTTTCATGCAAAAAAACGTTTACTAATGTAGGAGCGAGAGTGAATGAACGCACAGATGCGATGTACATCTGTAGTAAACAACATCTTTCATTCACACACAGACATGCAATTCATATTTAAACAGTATTTTTGCAGTTTACAGACACTTTTCAATAACGTGATTAGAAAAAAGCAAGAATAAATAATTTATTACATCAGCTGGATTCGCTCGCTTGAAATGAAATTACTACACTACTACACTTCTGAGGTAACTTTTCCAGGATTATTACAATAGTATTGTTCCTCACAGCAGAGCAAGACGAGGTAAAGTACAATGTTCTTATTCAACTGGATGTTTTATCCTGCTGATGTGGGCGTTGGCATGGCTTGCATCAACATTTGTGTTTAAATAGCGTGCACTCTCAGTTGGGTGTGTCACATTAAGACGTAATGTACTATAATTTGGTGAAAGGAAATAAAAAACTGACAACTCACTTTTCATACAGATTACATTAACTGAGAATATTTGTTTTTTTATATAAATTACTTAATTTAAAAAAAGATCATTTCAGCTTCATAACGAAAAATCTTTCATGCCTGTGTCACAAGTATTTACTGAGTTACAGTTCATTTTCGGACGCGTTTCAGAATGAACTTCACTGACAGAGAGAAGGCAAAATTCACATCATGTTTATTTTTCTTTCTTTGACGAAAAGCAGAATACTTTGTTTTTATCGTGAGTATCCACCTGTGTTTTTCAGTGTATATGGCAAGGTTAACCTATAAAGCAGTTAACCAATGAACAGGTTTTCACTGTACCATTTTTACTTGAATAACATTTTTTTTTTCACCCACCTCCACCCCCCCTCTTTGGAGGACAACTTTATTTATATATATATATATATATATATATATTTTAGATATACAGAAACTTATATCTTTTTTGAGTACATACACAATATGTTGTCTATGTGATGGATGCACAAATTATGAGCTAGCTTGGGCTGATTGTCGGATGCTAGACTGGTCAGTCGATTGTGACCTGGTGTGTGCTGGTTGTTAAATGCCAGATGGGTCTAGAGACAGTGAGCTGAATTGACTTAGGCTGGTTGCTGGATGCCAGACTAGACCACGCAATGCAAACTGTCTTGGGCTGGTTTTTGGATGTCAGACTGGACCACAGATCTTAAGCTGACTTGGGCTGGTTGTTCGATGCCAGACTGGTCCACAAATTGTGAGCTCGCTTGGGCTTGTTGTTGGATACTGGACTGGTCTGCCGATTGTAACCTGACATGCGCTGGTTATTAAATGCCAGACCAGTCTACAGACCGTGAGCTGACTTGGGCTGGATGCTGGATGCCAGACTAAACCACAGTTTGTGAACTGACTTAGGCTAGTTGTTGACTGCCAAACTGAGCCGCAGATCGTAAGCTGACTTGAGCTGGTTGTTCGATGCCAGACTGATTCACAGATTGTAAGCTCGCTTGGGATGGTTGTTGGATACCAGACTGGACTGACGATTGTAACCTGGCATTTGCTAGTTGTTAAATGCCGACTTGTGCTGGTTGTTGGATGCCAGACTAGTCCACAGACTGTAAGCTGGCTTGAGATGATTATTAGATGTTAGACTAGTCTATAGGCTGTGAGCTGACTTGGACTGGTTATTAGATACCAGGTTGGTCTACCAGTTGTGACTGGTCCATAGAGTGTGATCTGGCTTGGACTGGTTGTTGGATGTCGGATTGGTCCACAGATTATGAGATAACCTGGGCTAGTTGTTGGATGCCAGACTGTGAGCTGGTTTAGGCTGGTTGTTGAATGCCAGACTGGTCCACAGATTGTGTGTTGACTTAGGCTAGTTGTTAGATGCCACGTCGGTCCACAAATTGAGAGCTGGTTTAGGTTGATTGTTGAATACCAGACTGGTCCACTACTACTACTACTACTTGAATAACATTTAATAAAACTTAATATCAAGAAACTTTTAAGCCAATATCAAGGACTGAGTTGCTGTCAAAGTCCTTCAGTCACAGCGTGTGAAATGCATCTGTAAGCAGGCTATAAGTTATTCACAAAGCATAACACTAAAAGGATAATATTACAAGACGTTTAACTAAAGTTTTACAAGTGAAAGTCTCTAAAATGCTATCTGAGTGCATATTTTTATCTCCTGTGACCTCTTTGCGTAAATGCAATCATTCCTATAATGTTCCCAGTCTACAACTTCACTAGCACACTGTGTTAAAAGATAGAGCGGTGAGCTCCAAGGGCCAAACTCAATTACCTAAAAGCAGTGTGTGCCAGCCTTTAGACAATCTACGAGGTGCCCTGGGTTGTTTGAGTAGTGTGTGTGTGTGTGTTGTGTGAGTATACGTATACTTTCATGGTTTTGTGTGTCCTTTACTGGCAGAGCGGGCCCTTTGCCCCCTCGGCTACAGCGGTTGCTTTTGTTAATGGGGGAAAAAAAGGAATTAATGGGAAAAATACAAAAAGAGAGATGCTGTCCTTACATGATGTGAAAAGCAATTGGAGTAAAAAACACTTTAGAACCCAATTTCACGCTTTTGCTATTTCCCCTCGACCACCATTTTGCTCTCCTGTCTCCTAACCATTGTTGTTTTGTTTGGGATGTGGGAACAGCAGACTGTAATGTAAAGCTGTGGCTGATGGTGTTGCATTGTTTCTTGAAGGGTGGGAT